TGATCTCCAGCTATTTTTCTCTCTGATACTACCATTTTTTTAACTCAGGTATATTAAGGCCTGGGTCTGAAGGGGGTGATCAAATTTATGGCCTAAAACAGAAGGGGGTGGTCAAACTTTTTTATTCTTTCAAGATATGCTATTGAAACCTTAACATGTAAAACTGACTCACAACCCTAATATTTTAAGTTGATAGTTGCCATGGATACAAGGCATGTGACCTTTGAACTTTGTTCAAATTAAATTTTGGAAAAAGCTTCTGGAGAGTAGTAGAACTAATTTGTTTGGAAGAAGTTTTTATGGAAATGATTAGGCTTAGTGCACTCTTCCTGGATCCAACTTGATAACTTGTCAAAATAAACCATGACCCCAATTAAGGCAACTGTGAAATTTGATATCCTTAAATAATTATTTATCTGTAAATAATTTCCACCGTTTCTAGTTGGATCCAAATGAGGAGCACTACGCTTAATCTATTTACACCCAAATATTTCCGCAGTGAAAACGTTCTACTATTCTCCCAAAGACATCTTTTAAAAATTCTTTAATTCAAAGGTCACATTATTTGTATCCATGACAACCACCACAACAATGTTCTCACATTGTGCCTATTTGTGATATGCCAAAGTTTTTACTCGATAACGCAAAACAGAGATAAAAAAGACCACCCCTCCTACTTCATCGTTGCCATATTGAATGACGAAGGCCTTAAAATGCACCTAACCTCCGATACAATACTTTCAGTATTGATTCTACATAAAGTGAATAAATGAATGGAGAAATACTTCTTCATTTGAATGTTGCGTCTTTAAGTCATGAAGGTTTATATTTCCATTACGTTGCTGACAGTGACGTCACCCCAGGCTTTTGAGTGTATTTGTTTTCATTTTTAATGCTAAATACTAGTCATTATGAGACATCAGATTTACAATAAACATTGTAGAAACCTTGAGTATAATAATGATTCTTTTTAAAAACTGTTTGCATAAACCACTCAAAATTTGTATATTTAATGAAGCCTGGGGTGACGTCACAGTTATTAACATATTGGAAATATGGCGGTGGTGAGTGTACAAAATTCCTAAATGGGAGAGTATTACTCTCGGAAAGAAAACGATTCGAATTCACTGCATGGTTTTATTATGGGAGACATTATCTTCATATCGGATAAGAAAAAAATGAAGATTTTTTTCCCGATTTTGATTTTACCTTTAACATTCATTCAAATCGGGCTCCCTGTGAATTGCGTATAAGGAGCTCCGCTTTTAGGGTTTTATTTCCAAAAAAACGTTGTCGTCAACCAACTCAAGCCTAAGCGACTGGACCGAAAGGAACTCTGGGTAGCAATCATTGAAGTCGAGTTGACTCCATAATTTTATCTGTCTAGTTATGCCTGGTTTACAGCACGAAAGGTGAGCGGTAATTGTTGAAGGAGACTTTTTTTAATGCCTTCATATTTTCGAAATTGTGAACTGAATCATAACTACTTTGTTTTTCTTTCCCTAAACCCTAAGACATGCATTTGATGGATTGTTTCTCGCCATTATTATCTTATTACTTCCAGGAACAATTAATTTAGAACGAATATTTAACGCGTCAGTGATTTTTGCCCATATTCATTTCGGTCCAGTCGCGTGGGCTTGAGCCGGTCGACGACAACGTTTTTTGAGTTGACTGTATATATTACAATCCAAGCAAATACCTCTTTCTGATAGCTCGGGTAAATGTGTACCAATGAGGACGTTTGCACGATGGAGCCATTTTCAAACAGGTACCAGAATCCTTTGCAAATTATTTTAAATCCAAATTCTTAAATTCGTATCCCCTTATTCCGAGAATACTAAATCAATACATGAGTGCTAATTGACTAAACAAACGAAAGTGTTCAAGTGAACTGGTTGTGGTAGTAAATGGCGGTATTATGTAAACGGTCTTGTTAAACAACTTAGCAACGTAATTTTATTTATAGAAGATTAATAAGAATAGAACAATATCAATGAGGAGCGTAACCTGATAAATGTATTATTAAAAGGTTGTTGGCGTAAAACATAAATTACCTTTTTGAGTCCTTTTGATAATACGTTTGGCCTTGGTAGGTCTGCCGGCAGAGGAGTGATGTAACAAACGCGATCTTTCTTATCACGACTTACTGTTATGTTCTGCAAATTAGAGTTACAACCAAAATCTATCAGTATTTTTTCTAGTACCATTCTATAAAAATGTGTAAGTTTTTTAACAAAATCATAATTTTTTTTTTTTTTTTTTTTTAACTTTCGTAATGGATCGAGATGTCGTCTGGGAAAAGCGCTCCCAATTACTTATAATTTTCTGCGCGAAGTGAAAAATGTAAATATCGTCCGAAGTCTGTCGTATATCGATTAAATATATCAAGTATATCGATTAATGTCTGAACGTATCGTTTACTGCTTACCATTTTGAAGTCGTACAGATTATCGCTTTCGGATAAGCCATTGTGAGAAGGCACTCTGAAATATTCAATTTCTTTCTTTTCATCGATATCAATTTTTTCATCAAATTTGGAACCTTTTTCTGATATGTGAAGTTTAAACTTCTCTGCAGACTCTTTCTGTTTCACGTCCAGCTGTGGGGTTTGGATCTGAAACACCATATATCATCAGTGTATTATACAAAATATAGATATCGAGAAATTCATTGAATACTGATATAATATTGGATCACATTATGTAGTCATACAATTCGGTTTTAAATATATATAAAGTAGACCTTATTGTCTGTGTAACAAATCTCTAGATTTTCGATTTCAATGAAAGACATCCGAGGTAAGTTTCACTAAACTT